TTCACTAGCACAATAGATTTTGTTTTTGGTCGTTACATTTCAAACTATAATTTTTACATTATATCTTTCCAATCGACTGAGGCCCTCAATCATGCATTCCCTTGCTGAATGTCCACTGTAAATTTAAACACATTGAAAAAGAGTAGAACTGGAACTGGAAAACTTACGCTGTTCCAGCAACACGAGTGCTGACATGAGTCAAGTTGGGTGCAATAAACTTTGCCAGACCGAAATCTGAAATTTTTGGTGAGAGGTCTTTATCAAGGAGAATATTGCTAGCTTTAATGTCTCTGTGAATAATATGGGGCCGAACTTCCTCATGAAGAAAAGCAAGCCCCCTTGCAACACCAACGCATATTTTACACCTTGCAGACCAACTAAACTGGATACTACTGTGGCCTCCACCTATAAAGTACAGAGGGAGTAAGTCATTACTCACACAATTAATTTATTCAAATAAGAACCAAGTAATATTACTTGCCAAGAAGTGTTTGTGCAAGGCTATTATTCTCGAGATAGCCGTAAACCAATATCCTATGATTGCCTTCTGCACAGCAACCATATAGCTTAACCAGGTTATCATGCTCAATGTTTGCAATCACCTCGATTTCTGTCAAAAATTCCTGGGACCCTTGCCTAGACTCTGCTGACAATACCTTTATAGCTGCCAAAGTGCCATTCTTAAGTGTTCCCTGATCAAACACATTTTACAATTATCAGTCAGCCTGTAGAGGTAAATGTCAGCAAAAAGTCTTTAGCACAATCAAGTGCTCATGACCAAGTATTCCACAAAAGTCATAAGCAATATCTTTCTAAAACCAGTTACCTTGTACACGGAGCCAAAGCCTCCCTGACCAATTTTATTTTTTTCACTGAAGTTCTCAGCGGCAATTTGCAGTTCCTTGTAAGTGTACACAGTAACATTTAAAATGCCTGAAACCACTGTACCCATAGGACCCTGTTAGAAGATTTTAGGTAGGATAAAGATACAATGCTAAACCTCTGAAAGAAGCTAGGTTCCTTTTTGTTGAAAATGCTGACATCCAAGTTTAAGTTAAACGCCAAGGACTTATTAACAAAGTTTTGTGCAATCAAAGTAAACAAAACGAGATTGCATCAAAAATCTTGAGTGCATACATTGTGAAGAAAGTAAGCAAAACTAATCATTTGTGCCGTTGTACTAAAGTTATTCAAGAGAATGGCCAAAACAGGCACACCTTAACCCAAGATCAAGCAAAATCTAGTAAAATAGAAAGCAATCTGCAGACTCAAAATTAAGGATCACAGTCCATTTAGCATGACCATGTGGCCAGCTGAGAAGGCCAGGGTTCTCAAGATTCTGAAAAGAGGCCCGGTCATCGATAAAAAGAATTGAAAGGGAACAATTTATCTGGATGGAAGCAAATTGATAAAATAGGCTTTGAATAGCAGCAAACTTAAAACTCTTCGGAATAAAGGTGATTCCATTCATGCTTCAGATTATCGGTTTATAAATCAGTAACTAACATTAATATAATGAAATCACTTAGCACAGAAAAAAGCTCCACCGGATTTGGTAGATCTATGTATGACTTAGAAAAAGTCATCCATTTCACAATTGCAGTGAGCAGCTAATTTGACGGCTGGCATTGAGCCAAAGCAACTAACATTGACACAGAAAGTATGTTCACAATTGAATAAAGGAACAGCAGAATAAAGACATCCACAGTACCTTCATCAAGTTCAACAGTCCTTGTAACTGAGGAAGCTGCCTTCTTCCTAAAAAAGAAAGAGAAACAAGTCATCGCCAGCTTTTTATGTTGACCAGTATCACCAACCAATCAAAATCCTTGCCCTGTCAAAGCCCCCAAGTAAACATAACCTTCTCAGCATGTAACTACAACTGTCTGATGAGAAATGCATTAGTCATTGACTTCAACAAGAAGACACCCTAACAAAAATCAAAGCTTAGAAATCTGAACTGCACATTTACGTGGCCTCTTTAATCAACATGTACTACCTAGGAACTCAAATAGAAAGATGACAGCCCGCAGAATCTCATCCTCAATAATAATTGAAGATGTTTGCATATGCAATACCCGCATATTTACCTGAAATCACTCTCCTCAAACACACTGTAGTTTCCGTATACAAGTCTTGACTTAATTTTTTAGTAGTTAGCTTATAGTCCTTACCATATGTATATAAGAGATAAAAATGTTCAAAAAGGGACTTTTTCCAATAGGAAACAACCTCGAAAAATAATCATAAAAGATCAAGAACGGTTTGTGCATCCATCCATAGCACATTTTAAGTTTTGACTATAGCCTATGCCTGTCTTTTGAAAATTTAGCGTTCCATACTTGAGGCACGAAAAGCAAAATTAAAATTAAAATCTATATGCCAGAATCTATAAGTTAAGGGGAAACATTATAAGGACAACCAGTAACAGTAAGGTCTGGAAATGCAGCCTAGTAACAGCATAGAATCTAATGTCCTTTAAGATCTATCAAGTTCAGTTCTGTAATACATCAGGTCAATCTAATATCAATACTTAGACCTTTAAGCTCATGAAATTTGATTTTTATTATAGAACTATCACTCTAATTCTCATTGAACTCAATTATAAGACAAAAATAATTCTGGAGCAATTTAAAAGAGAAATTATTGAAGAAATGGAAGAGATTTATGGTTTTGAGCAACTGTAAATCTTATAAATCAATCTAGGAGGCACCACAATTGAAAAAGATGAAGATGATGATGATGGTTATGAATAAGTTTCTTGAAGATTACCTTTATAACTTTCCAATGGAATTGAACCTGGGTTTTGCTATATTTCCACCTTGAAGTGTCCTTTTGCACGCAGAAGCTAATGCCAACATAATTCAAGTACTTGGATTAGTCAAACTATGAGCTTTTCATTGATTGAATCAAAATAACTATAACTCATTTACTCAGAAGTATAACAACTATATAAGAAAAACTCACCATTCTTTTGGTCTTAAGCACCCAGAGGCCAGAAACAGATCCAAAGTCTTTTTCTTCTTTTTATTTCCAATGGGTAGATCAAAGGTAAGCTTTTCTTACATTCTCTCAGCTACCAGACATAAAAAGTACAGGTAAAACCCAGATAGAATACAAGATAATTCAAACATGAAGAACCTCACTTGTGGTGATTGCAGCACAAATGAAGGGAGAGAGAGGAGATGAGGAAGATGAAAATATTATGGCTTTCCGTTCCTCTAGTTTCAGAGCTGCAGTTAATAGTCGTCTCGTACTGCTGTGTTTCGCTTTCTGCTTTTTTTTTTTTTTTTTTCCTGTCTAAATGAAAATAATTTGGATAATTAAAAAATAAAAACAGCTTTCTGGGATTTGGAATTGACTTTTCTCCTTTGTCATGCCGTGCAAGGTATGGAATGGGACTACTATGGATTTTGGAATTTCCTTTTTTTTCATTTTATTTTGTTTTGGTTTTTTTTTTTCTTTTTTTTCTTTTTTTTTTGGCTGTAAAGGAAACTTCCAATCACACAACTCGTAACTCAAAAGTCAAAATGCTTAAAGGCTTGAACAAAGTTTTTTTTTTTTTTTGGGGGAAGAAACGTGGCTAATGCCTAATAAAGAAATTAAATAATGACTTGAGGCCTGCAGATTCCAAGTTTTTATTTCTTAATTATAATAGAAAATACAAAAATTGCTCAATCCTTCAAGTTTTTTATTGAACATGTCTCTTTCATTTATACAAGTCATATCGAGACGCATGAATAGAGAACATAAGTGATTGCTCTTAACCACTTAAATTATAATTATCTTATTTTTTTTTTATTGAAATTAATATATCATATTTTGAAAGTTAATCTTATCTGAATTCAATGAAAGTATGACATATATATATATAGGAGTAAGATCACTTGATATGATATCAGTGTAACTAAATTATAACTTTTTGTAAGATTATTTAGTGCTCCTAATAATGCATATAATTAATTAAAATGGACAAAATGCCCCAATCCAATATATGTATTATGTAGCCATTCAATAATAATAATAAAAAAGGTTCAATCACTCTTTATTTGAAGATATATTAACAAAATAGTTTCTTTAATAGCACTACATATGGATGAACTAGTTAGAGATTTTAGATTGGTTAGAAATTTAGCATTCATATTCTCCATGCATACAGTATTATATCTTAACAACTGGATCCAGAATGCAACTATATATATAAAACGGTAAAGATTTGGAAAGCTGATTAGTTTATGCGGTACAAATATAATCAATCATGTCTTCTTAGACATTGTCCCAACACAGATAGGTCAAGATTTCCAACACAGAAAAAAAATATATAGGTCAAGAAAATTTAGGTTCGTATATTTCCTTTGAAGAATCAACAAACTCAGGAAGATATCAAGACGTACAAATCACGAGTAGGACTCGTATATGGAAAATTAATTTATGTTACGAGGTAGACTGAGGACCTACATACAAATGCACTAGAAATACAAAGGTATAAGGTTGATTGTATAATATTATTTTGTTTGGTAAGGTTTGTGTTTAAGTTTTCATTAAAGAAATTAAAGAAAAATACATGAGAAACGGAGAAGGACGACGTAGAAATGAGACTAGAAAATGAGAGATGAACATAGGTGAGAAGAAATGAAAGAGATATCTTCTCTTAATGAATGCATGAAAGAGATATTGTATAATTAATCATGTCTTTGTTCAGTTTCTTTGTTATGAACTTAAAATTACAAAAAAAAATTAACTGCAAGATTAGAATAAAATTGGAAAACCAAATACAAAAAATTATTATTATTATTATTTTATATTAATAAGTCTAGTAGCCCAAAACAACTTACTGGAATCTCAGTTTGCAGAACAGACGGAAAACAAACAGTTTGAATATGTCTTTGTTCACCGTCCATCCTCTTGGTTTTTCCTTCTTGATCTTTTGCTAATTAGAAAGGAACAGTCTTTAAATTAAAATTCAGATACATAAAAAATAAAAAATAGAAAGTTGAAAAGTCAATTTATTTGAAGGAGGAAAATAAAAAAGAAAATAAATGAGGCCTGTGCACTGAAGTCATCAGACCCACCAGTCACGACTCACGACCTCCTCGGAAGATAAGGAAGAATTTTTATAGCGGAGATTTGTACAAGCCAAGAGAAGGTGATGGATTCAAAGTGATTTTGGCACTCCTTAATAGCTATTCAAATGCAAATTGAATATTTTGTAATTTTTTTCACGAGTGAAATATACAGTAAACCAATAGAGAGAAGCATTAAAATCACTAGCTTATCCTTTATTATTATTATAAAGGAGATTCTCGCATATAAACCGGGATGTATTTCCCCTCTTTCCACCGTCAAAGGGTATACATCCCTAATTATAACCAAGTTGAATTTTCCGTAAAAGATTTGATAAGACATTTTTAGTTGCCATAAAGTCCCTCAAAGTCTTCCAAAAACTAGCAAGACTAACTTGGTTGGAAATCTTGACATGGAGAGGGGCATTTATCAGCATCATGTTGAGTAACCATGCAAGAGAGAGATGAACATAAAACAAAAGTTGACAAAATGTCAAACCAAAAAGAAGAAGAAGGGCAAGTTGGTGACATTTACAAAAGGCGATCAAAATAATGCACTTTCTTTTAACTCATGGTAAAACAGGAAAATATACCATAAACAATTGGGATAATAATAAGCATAGTTTTTTTTTTTTTTAATTGGTGGAAGAAAAATAAAATTTCACAATTCACAACTAGCATCGTCATAAGCTACAACGCTCCAAATTCCAAACCAACTTGATGTTAGTTTATTAATTTGTACATAGAGTTGGTATTTGCCGACATAGTGTTGTTGTGATTTAACTACACGAATTAAAGTAACAATAACTGCGGCTTCCATTTTTCAATTCTTACCCTTCAATTCTTACACCTTGTTGGGTCTGACATAAATTTTATTTTAACAATCCAAACAGTCTATTTTTTAAGTTTTCATTCAAAGCTTATCCTTGTCAAAAATTAGCAAAATCGAAAACCATTAAAACATTTAATTGTGATCAACAAAATTGACGATCCTAGTTATTAAAGATAACACTCAAACTACAACTATCGATTAAGTGGTCAAATAATTTTGGATTAAAGTATTTTTTGCAGGAATGCCCATCGCATAAATACCTAAAAAATTGACAATTCGGATTTTAAAAAAATACAATGTGTACGGCCCCACAATGGTGTCCCTCAAATAAGCTTATTTGAGGGATCTCTCAACTGAAGTTTATTCTATATTATATATACATAACTTTATTTAGGATCCCTCAAATAATTAGTTAAGAGTC